ATCTATCTATCTATCTATCTATCTATCTGTATCAAACATTACTAGAGCTAAAGAGAAATAGACTCCAACACAATAATGACTGGAGACCTCAGCATCCCACTTTTACCATCAGACATATCCTTCAGACAGAAAATCAACAAAGAAACTTTGGATTTAGTCTGCACTATTGACCAGATGGATCTAATAGACATTCATAGAACATTTCATTCAACAACTACAGAATGTACATTATTCTTCTCAGTATATAGAACATCCCAAGGATAGACCATGTGTCAGACCACTACAAATTGAAATCACATCAAGTATCTCTTCTGACAATGATGAAATAAAATTAATCTTTTTTATTTAGTCAATAACAGTGGAGATTTTGGAACTTAAAAATAAAATTAAACAATATGCTCCTGAATGACTGTGTCAATGAAAAAATTAAGAAGGAAATTTAAAAATGTCTTAAAAAAATGAAAGTGGAAACACAACATACCAAAACCCATGTGGTACAATAGAAGCAGTAGCTAGAGAGATGTGTATAGCAATAAATATCTACATCAAAAAAGTAGAAAAATTCAGATAAATACCCTGATGATGCATCTTAAAGAGAAAGAAAAGCAGGAGTAAATCAAACATAAAATTAATAGAAGAAAAGAAATAACAAGAGATAAGAGAAGAAATCAAATCAAAACAAAAAAAATAGAATATCAATAAAACAAAACGTTGTTTTGTTTAAATGATAGACAAGAGCAAAAAGTCTTTAGCCAGATTATGAAAAAAGAAAGAAGAGCCAATAAATAAAATCAGATATTAAAAAGGAGACATTACAACTGATATCACAGAAATTCAAAAGATTATTAGAGACTATTAGGAACAACTGTATGCCAATAATTTGGGGAACACAGATGAAATGGATAAATTCCTAGACACATAAAACCTACCAAGGTTGAATCATGAAGAAATCCAAAACCTGAATAGACCAAAAACAAGTAGTGAGAAAGAAACAGTAATAAAAATTATTCTATTAAAAAAAAAAAAAAAACCCCAAACAAACAGAAAACCCAGTTCAGGACCTGACAACTTTACTGTTGAATTATACCAAATATTTAAAGAATTATTACCAAACCCACTTAAATTAGTCAAGAATATTGATGAATAGACAATACTTCCAAACTCATTCCACAAGGCCAATATTACCATGACACACAAAAGACACCACAAAAAAGAAAAGTACAATATCATTGATAAACATAGTTGTAAAAATCCTCAAAAAAAAAAAAAAAAGCCAGCAAATCAAATCCAACAACACATTAAAAATAACATTCATCATGATCACGTAGGACTCATCCTAGGGATGCAAACATGAATCAACAGATGAAAATCAAAAAATCTGATACATCATATCAACAGAATGAAGGCCAAAAACCACATGATAATCTCAACAGATACTGAAAAAGCATTTGATAAAAGTCAGAATCCCTTCATAATAGAAACTTTCAAAAAACTGAGTATAGAAGGAACATACATACCTCAATGTGATAAAGCCTTATATAACAACCCCCCCAAACTGAAAGCCTTCTAAAATCTGGAAGAAGATAAGGATGTCCACTTTTACCACTATTATTCAACATAATACTCGATATTCTAGTTAGAATGATTCAACAAGAAAAAGAAAGAAAATGCATCCAAATTGAAAAAGAAGTTCATTTTTGCAAAGCAATCCTATATTTAAAACCTGAAGAATCCATGAAAAAACTGATTAGCACTAATAAACAAATTCAGTAAAGCCAAAGAATAAAAAATCAATGTACAAAAATCTGTGGCATTTCTGTATCCCAATGGTGAACAGTAAAACAACAATTTATTGTCTATTTCAAAATACCTAAAAGACTGGAATTGGAATGGACTTGACACATATGTTTGCAGACCTTGCATTTATTTCTGGCCTTCATGATTGGGAACTAGGATGCATTACAAGATTTATTTCATGCTTTTTCTCATTTATCAAGATTTATTTGTATTTTTTTTTAAGCTAGGTAAAAAAATACACAAGCGAGAAGTTGTTCAGGACAAATACCACTTATCCTGATATTGTCACCCAAGAGGGTTTTTCCCTGTATGTGCTCCTAGAGAGTAACTAGTGATACACACAACCTCACATCTGTAGCAACCTCCCAGCAAACCTGCCACAAATAAAAAATTATTAAGCTGAGAAACACTGGAAGAGAGGGACTCCTGGGTGTAAACAGGGGCACCTCTCCCCTTTTTATTCACATTTACTATTCTTGGAAATACTCAATACCAACTGAAATATTTTCCTGAGCCATCACTTAATCTACAGTGAAAGAGACAAGATAGAAATCTAGACTATAATTAGCTTTCTCAGTGGTCTCTATGCAATTGTGGGTAAGTTGCTAGTCATTAACAAATTGCGGCTTGTCTCAAAAATTCTGCAGGTTTTTAGAATATGAAGCAGACAACACAACTGTTCCATCGGGAAACATACATGCACATTTCCTTTGAGCTTTAGGAGTAAGAATGTTATGAAGAAAAGAAGATAGCGTAATTTAACTTTAATATGTGGAACAACTTTAGCTGGTGAATTATTGAGGCAGATTACTTATAAGACTAGTTAAGTGTTCATACTGTAAATATAAATAAGTAGAATAACTTTTTTTTAAGCAAACTTGAATATCATAAAATTCAACATTATGATTAACAACATAAAAATTACAACATTTTCTGTTTATACGGTCTGAGATGCACTGTAATTCCCAGAATAATGTATAAAAATATTTCCACTTCCATACTTATTTTATCCCTGTGTTTAACCCTTCCCTCAAGCTTTGAGGAATTGTGATATGTGAAACAAGATATTATTCATGCCCACAAGGGGGACCCTTGACACCGTGGCAAGAGAGTTTACACAGCACAGGTCTTACTGCTAATACACCCTTCGGTTAAGTTCTTGGGTGTGCCAGAAATTGCCAAGAAGTCAAGTCGTTTCCCGTCTCGTTGGCCTCACCTGCGAATCCAGGCTGACAGACACACACATAACCTGAGGCTTCAGGGTAGCTGAATGAAGAGGGCAGTCCAACAACCTGCCCATAGTGTTTCTCTGAGGACAGCTCCACACATTCTCCAGCAGACTGGCAGGGGTTACTGTTGCATTCATTGATGTCGGTCTCACACTGGGCACCTGTGTATCCTGCAGGATAAATATTCAGAGAAGCTGCTGAGACAGAGCTATTAAAATTGAAGAGCAGATGCCTGAGAGAGCCCCAGAATCACTGTGCCTGCTCTCAAAGAACTAGCAAGGTGAATCTGGGAATAAATTACAGTAGCAGTGAAATCACTTGCATAATTTTGACAAAAAAAAAAAATTTGAAACAATTTTATTAGTGAGACTTGAAATAAAATAGGATATCAGGATAGTCTAGACTTGATCTAAACATTTAAACGAGAGACCCCAGTTTTGCAAAGATTCCACATTTGTGGAATTTGTGAATTTTTGTGAAGAAAAAAATAAAATATTTTTCAAGAGAATAGCTGAAAAATCAGAAAATCCTCATAGCCAACCCTAAATTCTTTTTTTAAAACTTAAAGTAAAGGTAAGTGGTTATTTTCTGACACTCAACGAGACAGAATAACAATTTTATATACGCATGAATTAAACTGAATCATTTTATTAAGGCTGGGAATAAAAACAGTAAAATAGGAAAATTAAAGTACTAAATATAAATGCAAGTTGCTTACTCAAACTGAGTTTTTTGTTTTTATAAATACGGGAAAGTGCACCTGCGAAAAATTATAGTAGTATTGTGTGTGTTAACAGAACTGGAATTGTACTATATGCATCCTCCTGCAACTTGCTGTATTCGCTCCCTGGCACAGCCTATCCGTGTTAGTAATATAGACCTAACCCGTGATTTTAAACTATTTCTAAGCATTCCAGAATATAGGTGTTTCACATTTTAACTCTTATCTGGTTTTATAAACTTTTTTTGCTATGACAACGTTGCACTGAATATAGTTATACATGACTGCTTATATAAGTATTTGAATATAACCCTACACTTTTTATTTTATTAGAGACTGGCAAACACCTCTAAGTACTTGTACAATTTTCATCTTACTAACTGTGGATCAGTGCCAATATTTGCTATCGTCAAACATACAGTTTTACCAGTCAGTTTACATTTTGATTTTGGTTTACATTTTCCCAAGTTCCTATTGAGCTTGATATTTTTTTGGATGTCTTTTGACCATTTCATATGTTTTTCCTATTTTTTCATTAGCCTTTGTCTTGTTGATTTATAAGAATATTTATATATTGTTTATAGTAGTGCCCCCAGAATATAAATTTACAAGGATACGATATAATGCTGATGAATAATCGGATGGCATCAGCTATTTTGCGAGATGGTAAGAGATATATATGTAAGTTCCTTTTGAAAGGAACACAATTTGATTTACAATGTAAGTGACTTCATGGTCACCTGAAAATCCTTTGTAATGTCACATAACTGTGCTGAGAAATATATTTTCAAAACAAAATTTAGAATTCAAACATTATAAAACTTATGAATCAAATCACAGTATTTCTTTAAAATCATTCAGTGCCAAGTACAGTGGCCCATGCCTGTAATCTCAGCACGATGGGAGTCCAGATAGAAAGACTGTAATAATAGTAATATAGATCTAACCCATGATTTTAAATTATTTAGACTGCTGGAAGAAAGGAGTTTGAGACCAGCTTGGGAAATATTACTGAGACCTTGTTCCTGCAAAAAAAAAAAAAAAAAAAAAAAAAAATTATTAAAATCTTAGCCAGGCATGGTGGCTGTAATCCCAGCTGCTCAGGAGACTGAGGCAGGAAGGTTGCTTAAACCCAGGAGTTTGAGGTTCCGGTGAGCTGTGATGATGTCACTGCAGCCTGGGCAACAGAGTGAGAACCTGTCTCAAAAATAAATAAATACAGATACATAAAATCATTCAGTAGCTTTCCCTTTCACAGGGGATAATTCTTGTGAAAGTCAAAATCCTTACTATGGCATAAAAACTCCCTACACGATTTGGTTCCCTTTCTATCTCAATCTTCTTACCTTACACTGTGCTCTTTCCTACTCCCCATTGTCCTCATAATGCTATTGTCTCTTCTAGAAAACTCTTTTCCAAGCATTTGCTTGGTTAACTTACTCACTTATCATATTCTATCTTGTATTACTTTTCCAGAATAACTTTCCCTCATGTAGATCTAAATGAGAGCTCCTTGTTTTCTCTCAAGCCACCAAATTATTTTCTTTCATTGCTCTTATGATAACTTTTACCATGTACTTCTTTGCGTGTGTAGGTGCCCCCCTCAGTAAACGGAGCTTCACAGAAAACAGAGACTGTGTTTATTTCCTTCCCCACTCCAGGGCTCAGCACTATATTATAAGCAGTAGACCTTCAATCAATGGTACTAACCAATGGTTGAAAATAACAATTTAGATGATAATTCTAGTTTAGCAAATAAGCCAGGAAATTGACTATTAACAAGCCAGTGATGAGAAGATGATGTGATTGCTCATTTTGTAATTTTAACAATTAACCTAAATGAGGTCACACATCAAATCACAACCACAGCATAAATTCTGTTGCTCAACAGTATAATATATTTATTAGATGTGACCTGTGGAGCCTTTCTCAACCCCCTGAAGAAGAAATTTATAGTAAAAAAAAATCAAATAAAAACCATAAAAACCTAAAAGCACATGTCAGATTGAGATCCCACAATCCTTTGCAGTGACCTCCCCTAAGAACCTTTAGAGTCACTTAAACTTGAAAGTCTACTCTAAAAATACAATTATTTCATGCTTAAGATTATATTAATACATTAAATAATAGTTTGTATAACAAGTTTTTATAAGCTGGTGTTTGTGGTGCAACAGCAGACTTGTTGAGGCAAGCTTGGACTATTTTCAATTTTCTTCCCATTCTAAGACTCACGATTTGTACATAAGCCAGGTTAGGAAGTAATTTAGAACCATCATAAATCCTTTTTTGCTTTTCTGACTCATGCGTTATCCTATTCCAATAGTGAACATTAGGAAGGTTCTGATTTATAGTCTTGCCAGGCCTGTCCCCACCACGAAGGCCCTGAGAGAATTTTATTCGCTGTTCTCTTTAACCACATATGTAAATAGATTCCTTCAGTCAAGGCTATATTCAATTGTTTTAACAAGTTTTTCTATAAAACTCTGTGCAAAGAAACAATATGATACTGAATCAAGTCCCCAGGGTTCTTATGTTTGTGTGTTTGTGTGTGTTTAACAAATTCCATCATATCTGGGCATCAGGAAAACTTTGAAGATAAGCATTTCATTTAAGATTACTGACATTCTTGCAAATTAATTACTTTTGACATGAGGACTGACTGTGGGCAAGTATGGTAATCGATTCTTGCTATTGTGTTCTGTGGCAATGGTTTCATGACCCAAAAGAATACTTTCTTTCTTCTTTTTTTTTTTTTTGAGAGAATGCTACGGTGTCCCAACTCACAGCAACCTCTAACTCTTGGGCGTGAGCGATTCTCTTGCCTCAGCCTCCCAAATAGCAGGGACTATAGGCGCCTGTCACAACGCCTGGCTATTTTCTTGTTGTTGGTGGTGGTGGTGCAGTTGTCATTGTTGTTTTAGCAGGCCTCACCCAGGTTCAAACCCACCAGCCTCAGTGTATGTGGCTGGTGCCCTAACAACAGAACTACAGAAGCCAGCCCCCAAAGGAATACTTTCCTTTTTCAGTAGTTTCTAGTGTTAAATCATCTTTACATAACAGTGAGAATAGGCTACAAAGACATTCTAAATTTTCTGTCTAAGCAAAATCACCATTCATTCAGCCACCAAAGCAGAAACCCAGAGGCAGAACTGTCCAGATTCTGTGCCCTTTTCCTACTCCACATCACTTCCACCTCCAACACGACTCTCATGATTATCGGCCTCCTCCTCTAAACCCCACCCTTCGTGTCCGGGTTCTGGCAACCAGGCTCATCTCCTGTTTAACATGCTACCACAGAATCCTTTCACTGGGTCCCCTGCCTTTAGTTTTGTTTCCCTCAATCATCTTCCACTAAGCCACAGAGATCTTACATCAACAAGTCAGACTGTTACTTCTCTTCCCCACAGTGTGAGGGGCAGGTAGGTAGCTTTGTGAGCTGCCTTTAGTCTTGCTCCCCAGCTCCATCTCTCTGCTCTCCGCCCCACAGAGTCCAGCGTTTTGGGCCTGTCACTCAAAGTTCCACAACTGGCCATCATCTTTTCTATATATATACTGCCCTTTCCTTTCTTTCCCTATGTAAGCAATGGACTACTTCATACCAGCCGTATGGCCTACAGTGGTCGGCCTGCTGATTTGATACCCGTGAAACATTTATTGATTGTTTGTAATGGTCCAGCCTGAGCTAGAAACATTATATACATTACTGGATTTATCTCCAAAACAACTCTGTGAAGTAGACATCACAAATGAGAAAACTCAGCACCAAGGAAGTCACACAGCTAGTGAGTATATATCTGAAACATGCTCTGTCCTCTTTCAGGGTCCTTAAAATAGTGCCTCGTTGCTCAAGCCATCCCTGCTCTTCTTCCCCCCTTATTCCTCTCCACAGAATTTATTATAGCTTCTTACTGTACCAAAAATGGTACTCTATATATTTTGCACATCTCCCCACTAGAATTTAAGCTCCTGGAAGAGGGGACCATATTCCCAGATCCTTGATACATACACAGAGGAAGCCCAAAAAAATGTCTACATAATTTAAGAAAAGATTGTATAAAAATTTTAATACTCAAGTCACATTTGACTTCTGCAATTACAAAAGATATAGGATACAATATACAAGGCAATAAACATGATCAGTATATATTGAATGTTACAATTTGAATATAGATTTCTTCCTTCTTAAAATGTATATACATTTTTTTTGGCACCCTCTGTAGTTGGTACTGAAATCTATGTGGTTTGAATGACTAAATCCATGAATGAATGGAATGAATACTGACTGGGTTTTTAAAGCAGCTGTTCTTAACTACCTGACTCAATTACAAACCCCCTCTCTAATACATAATTCCTGCCTTGTGATCTAGAACTCAGATAAAGTGGCCTGGTTTTGAATGCTTTGTATGTGTCGGGCTCTATTTTTAAATTTAATTTTCACAACAATACTGCCAGGAAAGTATTTTTGTCCCTCTTTTGCAGACAAGGAATTTAGGGATGAACAGGTGAACAACTTCACTCAGTTAATAAATAGAGGACACATTCTGCTCCCAAACTATCCACTCTGTCCTCTGCTTCTGGACATTGACTTGCATGACTGTTAGTTAATGACAAGAATGTGGGTCAATGTATTTTGGACAAGTTTCAGTAGTTAAGCCAAGTTAATGACCAAAGAATAGTAAACATTTCCTATTCATTATATGGAAGTGGAAAGACAGAATATGCATAAATTTTCAAGCTACCGATATCCAAACTTCCTTTTATACTTTCAGACTACTTTTACCCACAAAATATATTTAAACAAAGACCTTACATGTTCCTTGTACAAAAGAATATCTTTCTACTAGAAGCTACTGCTGATTGGATTGACTCCAGTCTCCATGTTGCCTTCTTAAGCACAGGAATATCCTTTTCTTAGAACATAAAATGAAACATTATGTGATTCATGACTGTAGATCAAGCAGTTTAGCATAATTAACATCAATATTTACATGTAATACATGTATTACAAGACAAGTGTTACATACTGTCTTCTACAATTTCTTGTATCAGCTCTACGCTCAAGTCTATTTACACTTCACATGTAAATTTTAGTCATGGTTTATGTGCCTAGGACTTTTCATTTATGTTACTGATGATGAGGAGAAATATTGCTATTTCTGCGACATCATCCTACACTTTCTGTGGACACTATTATCATGTTGACTGACTGTGAATTATAAGACAAATTGCTAGTGGTTTAACATTGTTTCATGCATTCCTGTGTATTCCTGGTGTCTGAGAGAACATCTTAGAGGAAAAGAAAGCGTGTGCCAGTACATTTTCCTTGGTGAAGACCATGCTGAATTTCATCTTTCCATTGAATCTTTTTCTTCTCTGTTTCCTCTAGAGGGTTTTGGTCAGGGGACAGGTAGGCAACCTACTTCAGATAATATGTAGCCTAGCAGTAAGTGTGTGCGGGTGTGTGCAGGCACAGAAGAATATGACTAAATTGAACAATGGTAACTAGAAGAAAGATTTGGTTTCAAATATGTAACAAGACATGTTAGTTTCCCTTTCTACAAAGCAATATGTTTCTATTCTAACAACAACAACAAAAAAATGGTGGAAGATATTTTGTCACTTACCGGGCCAGCAGTGACAAGTGTAATTGTCAACACTGTCCTCACAGGTAGCATTATTGTGACAAGGTTTTGACCAACAAAGAGGCATCAAGGTCTCACAGTGTGTCCCTGTGAATCCACTACCCGTGCAGTTACAGCTATATCTGGAGAGTAAATGAAATTTTCACATCAGCTCCAGGTCACATGGAGATCAGATATCTTTCTTTATTCCGTCTCTTAATCTGTCCATCAATTTGAGACCCCAGAAAAATCCTAATATCTCAAAAACTCCAAGGAATTATCTTCATAGGACTGAACATGTTATATGTTTCCATATTAAGGTTTATCGTAATCTTTCAAAAAATTTATAATACAGAGCTTGATGCAAATTTATTTGGAAACCATGATCATTTACTTCTGATTCTTCATCTATCAATTGAAGACAATAGTACCTACTTGCAAGGTTATTTTAATAATTAAATAAGACAATAAAGAATAGACCTAATGCCTCAAATATCTGAAAAAACCAAATAAATTGCTATTAAATTATATTAAATAACAGTGTTAGTGTTCTTTAAGGCAATAGAGAATGACTTATACCTTCATGGCATTCTTTTAGGTAGAGAGCCCATTCACGAGGTCCCTTAAGAATAATGAAACAATAAATTATGAAAAACTCAGAAAAACCCCTAATTAAATAAATTGTGACTTATGATGTTCTCTTATTTTTGATTATAAGAATTTTTTAGTCTTGTTATATATGATCATTCCCCAATTGAGTGGAATTATCTGACAGTCCCCAAATACAAACATAATGAGAAAGGTGTTGACTTTATTAAAAGGGGGCTTTTAACTTAGGGGGGAATCTCACCAAAGAGGTAGTATTGTAATAAATGGACCTGCACACTCAGCTTACATACAATGAGGGTCTTGGGGAAGAGGATACCTATGAATTTATAAAGCTATCAGAGTCCTATGCACCAAAGCTGTGTATATATTTACCACCAAACACAGATATTAGGACTTTACTAAGGAAACTAAAATAACAAAAGTTATAAGTGGTTATAGTTTTTCTATGTATTGCTTGTTAGAAATCTACTCAGCACTTTGTTTAACTAAAAATAGTTACTAAAAATCTACTAGGTAAGGCATTAGAGACAAGAGCCCTGTACTCAAGTGGCTGGGCTGGCTGGCTAGTGGACCTTAGTTTATGGAATTAGAAACTCCATTTTCATAATTTCTTTGGTCTGCAAAAATACTTTTTCTTGCTTTCTTTTATTCCTTCTATGTGTCAGTTTTTTTACTATGAGAAAATAAAATCAGATCATATAGGTTGACTTCATGGATTATCTTCTCAAAATTTAGGTAATAGGGAGATAATGGTAAAATAGAGAAATTATTCATGGTACAGTCAAGTGAGGAGAATAAAAGGTGCATGAGTTTCCGCCTGGTTTTGTTTGCATTTCCATCAGAATCACAAGCTGCATGTAATTTCTGTCCTGACACTTTCTGGAGTCAGTAAAGCATGGAGGAGGGTGCCTCCCCCCTTTCCCTGGAGGTCTTGTGTAGAACCTTCCATTCTGATCTATCTTTGCCGTGGCCAGTTACCTGTCTCTGAGACTGGAGATTTACAGCACTGGAGTTTTATTTGGGTACAGCTAAAAGTCTGAGACAGGACATGGAACGTAACTAAAAGTTATGTTTTATATTCTATAAAAGAAATGTACAACCCTGACTGCTCCATTTAAAATTCTATTATTGTGTTGGATCTATTTTGAAGCACACATGTCCTTTATTGCTCTCCTTTTAACTCTGATTCACTTCAAAATTAGATTGGGGATAAATTATTTCTCATTTATTACAGAGAGAGAAACTGGATTCTCGCCCTCCTTTTGCAAATGATTAACTGTGTGAACTTGTGGGAGTCTCCTAATGTTCCAGAACTTTAGACTCTTTATTGTAATACGGAAACATTAATGTTCATCTTGCCTTCCACTGACCTGCTGAAATCGAACAAGGTAATTTTAAGTGCCAATGTTGTCAAAAATCATTATGCATTTGATAACTCGATAGTTGTGGTTTAAATAAGTACAGAAAGAGCTTTACAAAATATTTTATGTGAACTCAATTACTGCTACATACATGTATTCATCCTACTCAGGTATAATTTATTGCTGTTTATTTTGATAGACTTTGAATTGGAGCAGAATCACACGGCTACTTCCCACTATCATGCTTTCTCAGAAGTATTCAGCCAATTACATTCACAAACACCTGGAAATTTGAGACATAAATAATTTATTGTCACTGTCCTTTCCCATGCTGTTTATATAAAATTTCAAAAGGATTTATTTTTGCTTCTTGATTGATATTCTTGTCATCATATAGATATAACCTCATATTCACATACAGAAGAATCTCTAGCTTTGTTTTTATACCTTCTTTGTCCACATCAGTTTTATTTCATGGAATTCTAAACCTGGACAGAAGATGCATTTTTTAGATAAATCTAAATATAACAACTTTTCATCATTTAATGTGTAAACTAATCTGAAAATTTTAAACAGAGAATGTGAGATCTCCAAATTCACCAGAGCGGTAAAGGAGTGCTTGGACAATTATTTTCTCTAAGCCAGTTCCCCAGTGTAGGAGAAAAAGTACCTGTTTCCTCCGTCCACACACAGTCCTCCATGGAGACATGGCTGACTGGCACACTCATCAATGTCAAGTTCACAGTGATCCCCTAGGAATCCAGGGGCACAGTCACAGAAATAAGACCCCAAAGCGTCCCGACAAGTCGCACCATTTAAGCAAGGCTGGGACCAACATTCATCAATTTCCAATTCACAGTTTACACCTTTTAAAAAAGCACAGAAAAACAGAAAGAGTTTTAGCAAAGCGTTAATACTCTAGCTATTTGACAATGCTTTATTTACCCAAGCAGGAGTCAAATGTTATGTTACCCAAAATAGTTTCCCTCCTTAATTGTAATTGATTTTAACTTTTGGTGTGCTTGTGGGAAGTTGCACAAAGCAGAGCAGCTGTTCCATACAAAGAATTATTGCATACAACAGCTTGTGGCTTTTTAGTCAGTGGAAACATAAAAGTCATTTTTAGAACAAACTTATTGTTAACTGCACTTTTGTTGGAAGCCTAAAAGAGGCTGATCAATGTTTTTACATTATTTTTAAACACTTACTTTAGTCAGGCAGTATATCAAATAGCGGGTAGAAGTTCAGACTCCAAAGCCAGACAACTTGGGTTGGGATCTTGGCACAGCCACTTATTAGCTGTGTGACCTGGGGAAAGTTTCTTAACCTTGCCATAATTCAGCTCCTTTACCCAAAAAAGAATGATAGTTAAAATTCCCTTATAAGATTATCATTATAATTAAACATTCTGGATACACACAAGTATTTGTTAGAGAAAAATAGCACTTGTTTTGTCCACAAAAAT